CAGATTTTGTATTTTATATTCTTGGGCTCAAAGATCAGTGCAGACGGCGACTACAGCCATGAAATTAAAAGATGTCTGCACCTTGGAAGGAGTGGTATGGGAAATCTGGACAACATATTAAAAAGCAGAGCTGTCACCTTGTTGGCAAAGTTCTATCAAGTCAAAGCTGTGGTTTTTCTAGTAGGAATGTGTGACCGTGAGAGTTGAACCATAAGGAAAGCTGAGCACCGCACAAATGATGCTTTTGAATTGTGGGTCTGGAGAAGACGTTTGAGAGTCCCTTAGACTGCAACGAGATCAAATCAGTCAGTATTTAAAGAAATTAATTCAGGATATTCACCAGAAGGTCAAATACTGAAGCTGAAGCTTTAATACTTTGACCAAATAATGAGAAGACAGGACTCATTGAAAAAAACTCTGATGTTGGGAAAGATTGAAGGCCAAAGGAAAAGGGGACAGCAGAGGATGAGATGGATAGCTAGTGTCATGGAAACAATGGGCATGACCTTGGACAGACTTTAGCAGATGGTGGAAGATAGAAGGGCCTAGTATGCTAAGATCCTTGGGGTCACAAAGAGTCAGACATGACTCAGCAGCGACACCCACCTTCATTTCTGCCCAGTGGCTTTCCAGTGTTTCTAGAAGTTTTGTAAATAGGGAGTTCATTCCCAAAGGAGTGTTGTTATCACTTGGCCTCGATCTATAAAGTATTCTGTTGGAGGTTTGGTACAGTATAGAATCTATAAATTAATTTGGGTACTGTCATCATGTTTATTATTATATTGACGCTGGTGAACGATGAACAATGAGTATCCCTTTGAATATTTAAGTTTTTCTTCAGTTTTTTAAAGAATTTTATAATTTTATTTATGTGTCTGCCTTGGTTAAATTGACTCCAGATAACTTATGCATTTCCTAGTCTTTTGAATGGAATTTTCCTTTCTATTATTGTTCCTGAGTTTTATTGTTGTTATATAGAAATGCTATTTATTTGTGGGTTCATTTTGTATCTTCCTTTTTGATTGGATATTTTCTCATCTAGCTGGTTCAGTGAATGGAGAGCTAGTCCTGGAGTGAGGAGAGCCTGAGTTCTGATTTAGCTTCAGATACCTATTTGCTCTGTGAACCTTGCATTTAAGCTTAGTTTCCTCATTTGTAAAAGGGAGATAATAACAGTACCTTCCTCCCAGGGTTGTTGTGAGGATCAAAGGAGATGGCATTTGTAAAGCACTTTACAAATGTGTGTGTGTGTGTGTGTGTGGTGTGCGTGTGTGTATGTGTGCGTACAATATAAATGCTCGCTATTGCTATTGTATTAGCTGTTTGCTGCATCTCTGTGCCAGCAGCATATAGGATTAATTTTGTCTGCTTTTGTCTTCTGTTTATTTTTCTCTCTTATCTAATTACTCTCCTTAGACTTACTAGAACATGTCAAATAGCTTTACTTCTCTAGTTACTGGGAAGACATCTCTTCTTTCCCCAGTGTCAGCTTTCCGTTTTGGACTATACCTATACTTTTGGAGAGTTTGGTTTTTTTTAATCATAAATGAATGTTTTATTTTTAAAAGCTTTTTTGTGTTTTTAATATGATTACATGGCAGTATGTCTCTGTTTTTTATATGCTCACTTATATTAATTGTTTTTCTAATGTTGAGCCATTTTTGCATGCTTAATATCAATTCAGTTAGGCTATAGTGAATAATTAAAATACATTACTGTATATTATAATGTACAGCTGTGAAAGGCTTAGCTATTTAATCAATATAGTGATCTAAGACAAGTTTCAAGGGACTCACGATTAAAAATGCTATCCACGTTCAGAGAGAAAACTGATGAACTCTGAGTATAGATTGAAGCATACTTTTTTTACTTTCTTTATTTTTCTTCCCCCCCCTTTTTTTTTTGCAACGTGGCTGATATGGAAATATATTTTGTGTGACTTCATATGCATAATTGATATTATATTGTATTCCTTCTCAATGGATGGGTAATGGCTGAAGGGAAGGAGAGAATTTGGAACTCAAAATTTTAAAATATGAATGTTAAGGTATATTATTATAGTCTTTTTGCTAGGATTTTATTTAAAATTTTTATATCAATATGCTTTAGTGACATTGGTCTATAATTCTCTTTCTTTCTTTGATGCTTCCCTGGTTTAAGTGTTAGGACTTGTCTCTTAACAGGAGCTTGATAGAATATTTTCTTTCTCAGGTTTTTGAGAATAACTTGTGTAGCATAGGTGTTAATTGTTCTTCTTGCAAATCCATCTGGACCACTGTTTTTTGCTGTTTTTTTTTCCCCCTTTAATATAGCCTTTACTGTTTGTTTAATTTTATTTTCTGAAACTTTAAAGTTTTCTATTTGATATTCTGTTCATTTGTTTTTGTAAACAGTGCTTCTTTTAAATTCTCATTTGCTAGCATATAAATTCTGTAGTAAGCCCTATGTCCTGTGCATTGCCATCTGTTTTGTTGTGACTCCCCAAGGACCACTGGGGCTTGCCATCTGCCCCATAGCTGAATGCACTTTCCTCTGTGTTGTCTCTTCTTGTGATCATGTTCTTTCATTGAGAGCAGAGACTGTCTCACTTTTCTGTTTGTATCCCAAGCACTTAAGACAATGCTTGGCACATACTAAGCTCTTAATAAATGCTTTTTCATTCATTCTGATAAATCCTTTATTTTCTGTTGTGGTTTTCATCTTTTTTTTTTTTTAAGTTTTTGGTAACTGGATTTTCCTCCTTTTGTGATCAGGTTAACTGTTTTGTTGATTTTTATTAGCCTTTTCAAAGAACCAAGTTTTTTATTTTATTTATCTTTATATAGTCTTTATTTTTTTTTTTTTAATTTTTCTTCTAATTCTCAGAATTTCCTCTTGTGCATATCTTGGGTGTATTTTTTTCATTTTTTTACTTGTTAAATGGTATACTTAGTTTATTAAAACTCTTATATTTGGTTTTTGTATTGTTTTCAGAGACATAATTTTTCCTCTAAGAACTGCTTTTGATACATCCTAGAAATTTTGGTATTTTATTGTTTTTTAATGTTTATGTATGCCATTTGCTTTTTAAGTTGTAATTGCTTCTTAATGAACTTCTCCCCGCATGAAATTCTCCCTCATATACCAAGAAAAACAGTTGAGTAGAGCCAGCCAACATCATCTCTAATCTGTCAGCATTGGCAACGTCTTCCATTCCTGTGATCCCCAAAAGAAGGGGAGAGTTTTGCCAGTAGCCCAGATTGGCTCTTGCGCTAAATCTGAATCCAGATGTATTTTAGAGTTATTTCCCTTTATCTTCTAGGAGTCGTCATGCGTATTTACCTGCTCTTACTTTCTTGACTAAACATTCCTTCTTCCTCTGAATTTCTTTTTTCTTTCTTTTAATTAATTTATTTTGATTTATCAACAATCAATTCCGTAAGCTTTTGAGTTTTAAATTTTTCTCCCTCTCCCTCCCCCCCACCCAAGACAGCATGCAAGCTGATATAGGCTATGCATATACATTCCTATTAAACATTTTCACATTAGTGGTGTTGTAAGGAAGAATTAGAATCAGGAGGAACCACCAGAAAGAGGAAACAAAACTCGACAGAAGAGAAAAAAAAACTAGCAAATAGTATGCTTTGATCTTCATTCAAATTCCATAGTTCTTTCTTTGGATGTGGATAGCATTTTCCATCATGAGGCCTTTGGAGATGTCTTAGATCCTTGTATTGCTCGGAAGGGTTAAGTTTACCAATATTAGTCATCGCATAACTGCTCATCATTTCTTATAGCACAATAGTATTCCATTACGTTCATATACCACAGTTTGTTCAGCTATTGCCCAGTTGTTGGGCATCCCCTCAATTTCTAATTCTTTGCCACCACACAGAGAGCTGCTATAAATATTTTTGTACGTGTGGGTCCTTTTCCCATTTGTATGATCTCTTTGGGATACAGACCTAGAAGTGGCATTGCTGGGTCAAAGGGTATGCATACTTTTGTAGCCCTTTGGGCACAGTTCCAAATTGCTCTCCGAAATGGTTGGATCATTTCACAACTCCACCAACAATGCATTAGTTTTCCACGAATTCCTCTTTTCTATTCTTTGTTATCTTTTGTGGCTCAATATGGACCCTCTCTACATTGACCTCACTGGGCAGAGGCTATGAAAAGCTCACTCACTCCCAGGATTTCAGATTGTTTTTCAGAAGGGAAATTCTGAATCAGTCCAGAGCTCCCGGAGCAGTGGATTGAGGTGTTTGTCTTCCTCCAGCTTCTCTACCTTGGACGGCCTCCTTCTTTTGTCATCACTGCCAGTTTGTTGGGGATAAAGGGAAACAGCAGAGTTGTTTCTTTTTCTTATGAACGATTTGGAACATTTTTTCATATGGGTGTTAATTTCCTTTGAAAAGTATTCATGACTTTAAAAAGTTTATGTCTTAGATAGCAAACTTTAATGAGAAGTGTTCATTGGTTTTTCCACACACAGCCTGACAGCTTCTTCTCTTATTCTGGTTGCATTGGTAAAGCTTAAAATTTTCACATAATGTAAATAGTCTGATTTGTCTTTTGTGGTCTCTTCTATTTTTTGGTTGTTGTGAAGGCTTCTTCTAACCATACTGCCTTTTACTTTGGGTTCATTCAACTCCATAGTGTTTTCTGGGGTGGTGTGCCTATCGAGGGGTTGCGCTGAGCTAGCTGAACTACTGGGGAAGGTAGAAGCCAACGTGGTTTCTTACTCATCTGCTTTTCTCTACCACATCACACACATACCACACCCCACTTTACCTAAAAGTAAAATTAGGCTCAAGAAAAGTATTTTTGAGGTCTTTGTTCAGAGAGAAAATCAACTAGTTAAGTATTTGGGAAGACCTCCCCCATAACCACAGTGAGTATAGGACAGGACTAATTGGGGGTTTTCCTGTCTTTGCATAGTGTCAAGGTCTTAACAGCTGTATCAGAGGAGCATAACAATGTATTATTAATATTCTAACGTGTTTGATGTATTCTTTTAGGCCGTGTGTCTTGGGACGAATATAAAGTGAAGTTTTTGGCAAGTAAGGGCCACAATGAAAAAGAGGTTGCAGAGAAGATAAAGAACAATGAGGAGCTGAAGATTGATGAAGAAAGTAAGTCCACAAGAGCCTCGTAGCCCCTAGAGTTTTGAGGCTAGCATTGCTTCCTTCTTGGGCTGTCTGGGTATTGGGCCATCAGAACCAGGATGCTGGGAGTCCTGTTGGTGCAGTCCTGGTGGAGCATTTGCTTTGACTTGAAAAGGGGAGAGATGTGCTGTGGGGGTTGGGGGTAAGCCAACTGCCAGATGTACAGAGCTGGTAACCGCCAGATGTGCAGGGCTAGGGTGTGGGGAGGTAACTAACTGCCAGGTGTGCAAGGCTGGGGGTTGGGGTGGTTTACATCCAAGAGCAGGCAGAGGAGTTGAATTCTAGACACGTTAGTGAGAAGAATGTTTTTTGAGCTTGATCTGTCTTTACTTAGAGTCTACAAGCTAAAGAATATTCAAACTAAAGCCTTATTCAATAAATTCTCTGACCCTTCTCCCTGCCAGGTGGTTTCTTCTTGTTTTCCTGAAGCTCTCTAAGGAGATGCTGTAGTCTTGGGTGGTCTAGGGTTGTGTCTTACCATCTTGAAAGTTGAGAATTCTTCCTCACGTCCAGCTGAATCTCTTCTGAATGTCTCCGGTATCTAGGACAGGATAGAGAACTTACTAGATGACTTAAACCCCAATGCCTGGTGATTATGTAGGGATACGTGGTTCTTATACATAAATGTACAAGGTATGAGTAATAGGCCGGGTGTCTTGGAGGTATTAACCTGAGGGGGCAAGTTGCAAACATGGCTGTGGAAAGGAGGGTACTGATTGGATTAGGGAAGTAGAGAAGCGGCACATTGAGAAGATGTATTTGTGTGAGGAGCCTGGGGGCTCCAGGGTGGGACGAGGCGGAATATGGTCAGGAACATTTGGCTGAGGAGCAGTGGGGGAAGAAGCTGAAGTACAGCTGTCTTGGTAATACACTACAGGCTACCAAGACAGAAGGAGGACATTGATGATGAGTTTGGAAAGCTCACCAGCCTGGCAGAGACTTCTCCTGCGAAGATCTCTGGATATCTCCTGGCACTCTCTCTGGCAAAGGCCAAGCAGTTGATAAATGTGGACTTAACAGTAGCTGCTGGGCTGGGGCCTGACATTTACATCGTGCTTCAAGTTTGGTTTTATTTTTATTTTGGTGAGGCAGTTGGGGTTAAGTGATTTGCCCAGGGTCACACAGCTAGCGAGTGTTATGTGTCTGAGGCCGTATTTGAACTCAGGTCCTCCTGACTCCAGGGCTGGTGCTCTGTCCACTGTGCTTCAAGTTTTATAAGACATTTACATACGTTAGCACAGCAGTATTGATTTCATTCTTCAAAAGATGGTAGGATTATGCAGGGCCACTGCTGTTCTGGGCCTGATGCTGGCTCATGAGGAGCACTTTGCTGCTGAAGTGGGAATGATGAAGACTTTGGGGTCAGTGAATGGCTTCTCCGTCTCGTGTATCACCTCATGACAGAGGAGCACAGGAAAGCCGGGCACACTCTGGCACCCCTTGTCTGTGAGTATCTCTGAAGGGGATGCTGGTCACAGAGAGCCTTCTTGGAGAAGAGGTCCTGCAGGACTGACTGATCTCCTTTTTGGCCTGGCTCACTGAAGCTGGTTGGCCAGCGTGACGGAGGGTCTGCCTAGATTTCAGCACAGTCTTGGACAGAGTCGTTCGTGTTCTCCATATAGACAAGCTAGTGTAGGCTGGAGCCGCCAAAGTAATCGTTAACAGATCCGTGTCATCTTGTGGGGAAGTCTTCAGTGGAGGGTCACAGGGATCTTTCTTGGCCCTGGGCCATTTAAAAATTGAACCATTAGGGATGGAGAGGTAGGAAGACAGTTCAGAACTTGAAATGTAACAAAAAATTAAATTTTAAAAAAAGCTGAATCATTAACTTGGAAGAAAGCCTGGCTGGCGTAGCTCTTCAATATAAAGAGGACCCCAGGCTGGGAAGGATTGCCAGTATCAGTGTGACACTCTCCGAAGACCTCGGGGGGGGGCTGGAATAAAGGGTTAAATCTCAGAGTGAAATTTAATAGGAGTAAATGTGAAGTGTTGTTGTTGGGCTCAGAAGATGGCTTCACAAACACAGAGGAGGGGGCATATCTAGATAGTGGTGTATATGGAAAACTTCTGGGGTTTTAATGGATGAAGGGTGAGTCACAGTGTGATGGGGCAGCCCCAAGGGTAAATGGGCCATGTGCCTGCCTTCAGAGGAGTGGGAAGGGTCAGGCCTGCTATCCTCTGCCCTGCTGAGACCAGACGGACACATCCAATTGGGGCTGCACTGTTTAGGAAGGAATGGCCAGACGGGAGAGTGGCCAGGATGGTGAAGGACATAACATATGGGGATCCCTTGGGGGAACCAGAGATATTTATATTGGAAAAGAGATTTGTTAGGGGAAGGGGGAGGTCGGGCAGATAGGATGGATAGACACGAGAACCCTCAGGTCTTTGGAAGAAGGATTAGCCTGACCTCAGGGTCATGTGGCAGCAGGCAGTAGATGTTACAGAGCGAGGCAGGTCCAGGCCCCTCCCAGAGCTGTGCCCTAGATGTGGTGGGCTCCCCCACCCTCACCGGGGGGCTTGAGGAATTTTGTAGAAGGGAGCCTCATACAGCCCGTGGGGTCTCTTCCAGCTCAGGTTCTGTGTTCCTTTGATTTACGTGTGGATTAGTCATTTGAAAATTGGTTGTTTTTTTACCCCTTATTCATCAAAAAGCCACCAAAATGCAAATCTAACTTCAACTCCTCTGCAGTACAGGTATTTTCCCTTAGTCTTAGGACCATGTGTATAATTTTCCTTTACAGAAATGCTGAGTAGGCCACAATAATATATTGCACATCTGCGTTTATCTAGCACTCATCTTTGTGCAGGGCCCTGTGCCTAGCACTGGGGCTGTTGCACACATTCTCTCATTTGAACCTCTCAGTAGTCCTGTACGAGGGCTTCTGTTGGTGGGGAGGACCCTGAAACTCATAGCTCTGACAGCTAGTAAGTGATGTGAATCCGGGGCTTCCTGCCCCTGCCCCTAATGCTGCATTCGCTCTGCCCTGGTACCTGGACCCTCACTGAGATGGATCGAGTAAGATTCGGGAGCTTACGCTGTTCTAGGGAGCTAGGACAAGGGTACAGATCCATAGGAGAGGTAGAACGAGGGGATGGGAAAGGGGGATTCAGGGTAGAGTGCCCAAGACAGCCCTTTGAGTCATGGGGTCGGGGTGGGGCGGCCCACCAGCCTAGCCTCAGGTGTGGTATGTTTATCTGCATCCTGAAACTTAACTCTTCCAAATCTTGTTTTCGTAATTTTTATCCCTGTCTGGTCTCTTCATAGTACAGTAAGAAATAACATTCTGTGATGTGCTTTTCGTGGAAATTCTTGTAGTCTCTTCTTTTGCACATGAAAATAACCTATAGTTAGAAAAGAATTGGCCTTTTGTTTTTCTGTCAAGTTTTTGGTTATATATGACTCAGTGTTGGTAGTATAGTTTCCACTTAATGAAAAAGACAAAAGAAACAAGAATCTTGTCTCCATAATCAGAAAAAGGGGCTGTGGTGTTACCAGGGTCTCTGATGTTATCAGCAAAGAAAGGACTGTCCCTGAGCTAACAGTTCTAACAATAATAACCAAGTTATTGGTGACCTGCATGACGGCTGGCCAACGTCCTTGCTGGGAGAGGGGTACACACACACACACACACACACACACACACACACACACACACACACACACCACACGCACGAGCGCACACGCACACACGTGGGTGCACACCTACCCAGAGATTCCTTTCTCCCACTCCTGGTCTTCTTGCACTGGAAACATGTTCACTCTGTTCACAGACAGTCACTCTGTCCCTGTAGCCCCTTCCTCTTATTAGATTAGATGGTTTCTCCCAGAACCTCCTTTTTAAGGAAAGAGCCCAAGCCAGCCATGTCTTCCTGGGCTGCACTCCCGCCTGTCCAGACTTTGTCCTCCAGGCCCTTCCTCCCCCATGCTCTTTTTCTAGCTTCTCTTCCCCTTTTGGAATGGAAGCTCCTGGAGGGCAGGCAGGGACTGATTTTCTTTCTGCTTGTATTTGTATTCTCATCACTTAGTATTATACCTGGCACATGGTGAGCGGTAAATAAACACTTGTTAACTCGTGTTAAAAGGGCAGCAGCAAAAGCACTATGATCGTGCGTCACCTTGAGAGGTGTGGTGCTGAGGCACGAGGAGGTGCTCGTCCGCTGTGCTTTGTCATCAGGCCTCATCTGCAGTGTCATGTTCTCTTATGGGCTGGAGGGACGTTCACAACCGGAGAGTGCCCGGAGAGGGGCAGCCAGGAGAGCGAAGGTCCTTGAGCCTCTGCCCGGTGAGGTCAGTTAAAAGAATGGAGTCTGTTTCGCCTCTTGGAAGTCTGTCATGTGGAGGATAGATCAGGCTTCTCTTAAAACCTTGTAGAATCCTGCATCCCCAAAGACTGACTGACTCTCACGTCATCAGTGCTGATGTTAGGGGCAGCTGCATCTGAAGAGTCACAGATACAGCTGCTGTGGCTCCAGCCCCCTGGATGGTCTGAGTAGCTCCTTCCTGGTGGGACTTCCTGTTACACTGAGTCGTATTTTGTTTCTTCGCATATCACTCAGGCCTTGTTATTTCTTGAGGTCATCAGCAGACTGTCAGAGGCTTAGGGCTTGGAATGCATGGTCCTACCCTTTGAGGTTTGTTTCTGGTAGTCTTTGAAGCCTGTCTTTCTAACTGTGCCATCTTTCTGGTTCCACTTATTAGTGGCAGTGAACTAGACCAGCAGTTCTCAAACATTTTGGTTTCAAGACCCCATTATACTCTCAAAAATAATTGAGGACCCCAAAGAGCTTTTATAAAATGTGGGTTATGTGTGCTATTGATAATGGCTGTATTAGAACTCAAAACAACAAACCCACATGTTGAAGCGTGTGAAGAAATCATATAGATATACAGTTTGAAAAAACAGATGTAGGCAGATAATATCATAGTATATTATGAAAATAGATTTGACCTCTTGGACCCCTGGAAAGGTCTCGGGGGCCTTGGGGGTCCTTGGACCACACTTTGAGAACAGTTGCACTAGACACCAGCGTTTCCCAGCCGCCCACGGTTCTGGCAAGGGTACCGTCCAGCAGCAGCTATTGTTGTAGTTGGGACCTTGCCACCCAGAGCTTAATTAGTGTGTGTTTGACTTGAATTGACTAATGCCAGGGGTGGAGCAGGCGAGACCTGAGAGCAAAGCAGGCATCTTCTTCCTTGCACTGTCCTTGCCGGGTCAGAGTTGCAAAGCTGAGATCCTTGAGATTGTTGACATCCTTGTCTGGTCCTCTCACCTTCTCAGGAGGCGCATGCTGGCCTCTGACCTTTTGTTTGGTCAAAGCATGTGCAACCAAGGAGCGGCATTCATCTTGTCTCGTCCTTGAATGGTCTGTCTACAGCTGCTGAAGTAGTCTTAGAAGGACCGTCTGCTCACTGGTGCACCCAGCAGCGTCCCCTAGCTTTCAGGTGGCTCTGATCGGTATCTGTCTGTCACTCTGTGGCTGTGTGAAAGTCTGGGATTGTGGGGAAGGACCTCCTCTCCTCTTGCACATCACTTGTGCCTTTATTAAGTGCCTTCTGCATGCCAGGTATTGTACTAGATGATGAAGGCACAGAGACAAAAACAAATAGTCCTTTCCCTCACAGAGCTGAGGAGGGAATCATAAATCTGTCCCAGAAGGCTGAGAGTTGGGATTGGGGCAGAGAAGGAGACTAGAGAGCATGGATTGTCAAATAGATCCTGTAACCTGGGGGGGCAACCTCATTTGGGGGGGCCCACCTTGGGGATCCCACCTTGGGCTAAGAAAGGCGTGTAGCTTTCCTTCAGTGGACCCTAATTTTTGCCTCAGTGTATTAGCAGCACTATGGCAGACCACCCCCATTTCCCTAGTTTTCATAATAATAAAAGGATTATCACTCATCCAATTTCAGGTGATTACATCCTTTATTTATTCTGCACAGTAAAAGATATCTTTGTAGGAGAGGACAAGTCAACACTCACATTTTTTTCCCCATGTAAATGGCTTTGTCACATGGGATTATGTTGGAATGGTCATGCTGACTTTTTAAAATTCCAATTTGATGACCTTTTCTTTTTAAAACATATGTAATCAGAACTCCCCATCCCCCTTCACCTGTAGAAAATTTGGGTGTCGCCTGTGTGGCGCCTGTGATTATCTGGGCTAATGAGACATGTCCTTTTTTTCAGCCTTGGAAGTTCTCGATAACCTCAAGGATCGCTGGTATCAGGCCGACAACCCTCCAGCCGACCAGCTGCTGAACGAGGAGGAGTTCCTGTCCTTCCTCCATCCGGAACACAGCAGGGGCATGCTCAAGTTCATGGTCAAGGAAATCGTGCGGGACTTGGGTAGGTGCTTCACCCTCGCCCAGTGCGGGTCGGGGTGGGGGGCGAGAACAGAAAGGCACAAGGGCCCATTTTGTTGGTTTTTACTGATACGACTTCTGTTTCTACATCCCAGTCCAGTCTTGTATTTGCCTTCTGTGCTTCCCTTGTAACCTCCAAACCCGTTGTAATAAAGAAGTCCAGGGCTGGCAGGAAAGGCCCCTGGCTCCATGGAGCAGGACGGTTTTGACAACAAATGCCTTTCAGGCTCATTTTTGGTTGTGTTGTCTCTCTCATCCTCCTGGTGCAGTTACTTCACAGCATATCAGTTTGTACAGGTGTGTCTCTGAGCTCTGAACCTGGACTTACTTGGTTTGTGTAGCTCATGAGTCAGAAATATGGAGAAACAGATTTCAGCATGCTTCACCCAGAGCATTAGTTGTGGAATAGGTGGCTTTATAAAGTAGTGGTGAGTTCCCTGATACCGGAAGTATTTAAGGAAGAGTCGACTGACTGTCTTACAGCTTTGGGTAGAAAGTTAAACTAGGTGATCTATCTATGAAACCATTTTTAACTTTAAGATTTTATTATTTTAGTATCCTGTGTGGAAAAGTTTCCCTGAAGTTTTAAGAAAAAAATTTTTACCCGTGTTTTTGTGGTAGAATTTATTAACAATGTAAATTTTGTGGTTTACTTTAGGAGAAAAAAAAAGTTGTTTTTTATAATTCACTCTCAAGGGGAAACTGACTGCAGGTTCTCCCCTCTCCCTTCCTTAATCTTACACCTTTCAAAATAAGTTTTCTCTTACGTTTTTTTTTTATGCTGTTTCTGATTCTGTTATTTTCTTCCTTTGGTTTATTTTTCATTCCTAACCCATAAAAGCTGGGCCCACTCTAATTATATGACCTTTTTTTTTCCTGGACATTTTAACACAACCATGTAAAACCTGGTTTTGGAAATTCACATGAGCTTAGGGATTTTCCCTTCCTGGGCAGCTGTTCAGGAATCTTTCCAGGGCTCCCCCTTACTCTCTGTCTCCCTTACTCGACTTCTTATTAGGTAACAATTATTATTGTATATACTATCTATATCTAATCACACATGAATATGCATATATATGTATATAGAATTACCTGCTGTCATATATGAAAGAGGGGTGTGTGAGACCTCTCTTTATTGTGATTTCTTATGTTTTCCCACCACTGAAACACTGCTCCTGCTGAAGAGCAGCTCCTTACCTCTGTCTTGTGCTTTGTAGTGCTGAAGAATGAATCTATAGAGAAACTATTTTCTACATTAAAGTAGAGATAGCTTTCCTTTCTTTCATGGCACTAAAGCTGTTCTTTTCTTTAGTAACACTAAAGCTATATATCTGTCTATCTGTCTATATCTAATTTTATTTGATTTTAACCGATGGCAGAGAGTCATTTGGAATCTTACTTGCAAGCCCCTTGAGGGCTAGGCTAGTGTCTTACCCAAGTTTGTATCCCACAAAGACCCAGAACAGTGCCTTGAGCACATGGTAGGTCCATTTAGGGAAGAGAAGAGCCCAGTGGGCTTGAGCAGTTAGCATAGGCTTCCCAGGAAGAAGAGAGCCCAATGCTGGCCATCCAGAAGGGATACAGGTGGCTGGGGAATGAGAGGGCATGCCTAGCCAAGCTGTGGAGGTGAGAATGCCAGACAGAACTTGGAGGGTCCCGAGTCAGCCGGCCTGGAGCGGGAGATTCCCGTAAGCTAGTGGCAGGAGATGAGGTTCAGGCAAAGAAGATTGTGGCCCTGGAGTAGAGAACGGAATTTTTATGCCTGGCCAAGGAGCTCGGACTTGTCCTCTGGGCAGCAGGACGACTCTTCCTTTTATTAAGCATTTATGAGTGCCTGGGTGCCAGGCATTTAGTTTGTAAAAATCTGGCTGTGGGCCTATGCAGGCGTCGTGTTTGATGAGCTCACTGAGAACGTAAAGAGAAGAGGGCCCAGAGCAGAGCCGGGAAAGGAGCTTCCAGGAGGACAGGCTGAGAAGGAGTGGTCAGACAGGCGTGTCGGGCCATCGAAAGGGCAGGAGAGAAACGGACAGCAGTTCAGTCGTCCAGTAGCGTTCAGTTCTGCAGAGAGTCAGCAAGGAAGAGAATTGAGCCTGGGCTTCTGCTGCTGTCTCTGACGGTACTTGCTGTGTGACCTCGGGCAAACTTTGAGCCTCTCTAAGCCTCAGTTTCCTCCTCTGTACTAGATGGCTTCGGGCTCTGAATCTGTGATCTGATGATCAATGACTGGGATGTCCTCTGGGTCCCTTTTGGCTCTAAAGATCCAGTGCTCTGATCTGGCAGGTTGCTGATTGGGCCACGCACTTGTCAGGCGCATTGGTGGGAGATGCAGAGAGCTTACTTGGGGTGGGCAGGGAGGGCCCAGGACGTGCCCAAGTGACTCGGTCACCGGGTTGGGGGGATGATGCTCTCTGGGGTTCGCTGGGCACGCCCGTGTTTGTTGTCGGTGCCCTCCGCTTTCTTCCCTGAGGCTGTCTGTTCTTGATGATTCTTAATTCAGTGGCCCCTCACGTAGTGTCTGTGCTTGCAGGTACCTCGGCTACCACAAACTAGTGAGATGTGTGGAATTTGTGGTCCGGCTGGTTCCAGGAGAAAACGAGCATTGGAGCTCAATTGATGTTTCCACAGACTTAGGTGGTCTTCTGTGTGCTTAGGGCTGAGTTGTCTCTGCTGTTCTGGATGGTCGTTTTTCATGCTCCTTCTTTCTTCAAACCTCTTTTTCAGACCAGGACGGTGATAAAAAGCTGGTTTTGTCTGAGTTCATTTCCCTGCCCGTGGGGACAGTTGAAAACCAGCAGGCCCAAGACATTGATGACGACTGGGTGAAAGACAGAAAGAAGGAGTTTGAAGAAGTAATTGACGCGAACCATGACGGGGTTGTCACCATGGAGGAACTCGAGGTGAGGTCCGAGGGGTGGGCCCTGCCTTCATCAGACTGTGACCAGGCTGGAGCAGCCCGGCAGTTTGGCGGCTTCCCTCCATTTCCGGTCGGCCAACCTCTGCTGGGGATCATGATGGCTGTTAGTCGACTCCAGCGTCCTTGGGTCAGAGCCTGGGTCCCATTGATCCTAGCGCTGAGCCTAGGGAATGCTTGTTGAATCAAATCTTGTGGTAAGGACAAAAAATAATTTCTTTTCTATTTCTATCATTCTTCCCCCAAAACCTGTTTGTGGCTCTCCAGAAAAATGAATGGCCACCAGTGTCATCCAGCTTTTTGTAGGCCCTGCTCTCAGATTGAATGTGTGGGCTTTTAGTGCTGGTTTGTTGGGGCGACCCTTGGGTCCCAGTGTTGAAAGGGTAGCTTGGGCCAGGGACGGGAGGGGGCCCTGCTCTCCACCCCTGGAACAGAAAGTCCTTCTGGTCCTGTATATGTAACAGCTCAGTGATGGCAGGGTCCATTCCCGTCCACCCCTGTTCCCACTCTGTAAAGCGTCCCGCTCTGTAACAGGAACTGTTCTTTTCTGGGGAGACCTTGTCATTCCTAACTTGATTATCCAGTCTGCCCCCCTTCACGCCTCTGACCTGAAAATCCAAGGATTAGTCCTTAAACTAGGCTTTGGGCATTCATGGGTTTTAAGCAGGAGGCCAGTCAGTATTTGAGAACCATCCCCCATCGTGTATGATGTCATTAAGTTTTGAGGTGGTCTGCTCCCCAGATTTCCCAGGTGTAGGGGGTGTTTAATAAGGACCCTCCCTCTGCCAGCCCTGGAGAGGCCAAAGTGACTTGTGCCGGGACCAAGGCTGGGCTGTGGCAGAGGTGAGGATCGATCCTGGGGCTTCCTGACTGCATGGTTCTTTCTCGCTAGTTTGCCACCCTGCCTCACTGAAGTGTGTCACACTTTTGGACATCTGTGTTATTTGTGGAAAAAGGGGAGAGGGAAAGGTGGGGAGAGAGAGAGGAGAAGAAGAAGGGAGGTGGAGAGAGAAGAGGAAAGGGGAGCAGAGAGGAGGAGAGAGGACATTGTTTATGATTCGTTAGAAGTTTTCAAGGATGCATGGTCCAGTGCTTTGGCTCTGGTACCCCTCCCCACCAGCAGCTGGTTCTCCCCCGGGCTCTCGGGAACCCCTTCAAATTTATTCCTAGAGGAAATTCACAAGGCATCTCAGTGCCCGCAACTCTGAGTATTGAAATTCTTTCCAGCATTTAGACTTCTGTAGAAACGAGGAAATAGTCACTCCAGTAATTAGGTATGTCTGGCAGGCTGCTAAACAGTTTTTCTTGTTCTTAGAAACCTTTTCCTCTTGCCTCCCTCACCGTGGGGGTGGTGTCTGCCCTTCACAAGAAGGAGCTCAGGTGGTGAGAGGAGGGGCTGGCAGTGCCTCGTTGCTGCTTCTCCTCGTAGAAGGTGCGGTGGGTATTTCTGGGCTCTGGGAGCTGGGGGCAGTCTGCAGAGGCCCAGCGGGCAGGGGGAGTGCTGCCATCACGCCACCTTTCCTCTCACTGTAGAAAGAGGATTGGGCCCAGGAGTCAGGGACCGGGAGAGCTCGGCAGGCTCTGTGACCTTGGGCAAGTCATTTCATTCTCTGATGTTTTACATATGAGGAAATCAGTCTCAGAGAAGGATTGAACTCTAATCATGGTCTCTTCCAACTCTCAGATCTTTGGTTCTCTCCTTTAAGAGAACAAGAGTCTAACTCATGGGACGTGTAAAGGTGCTTCAGGAGGGTTTGTGACATTGAATGGCAGGGCCAAGCTGGCCGTTGTGTTTGGGAGCGGGCCACACTGAGGAGTTTAAGTTACAGGGAAGAACTCCCCTGGCCACAGAGAATTAGCTGGTGTTTCCTGAAATAGACAACACCTGACCTCCAGTGTTTGGGCCTCGGGTGTCAGCCTCTTTCTGGCCTTTGCCCCTTCAGCCCTCTGTGCTGTAGCAGGAAAGGTGGGAAATGGAGGAGAAGCCTTGGGCATGGGGCAGGGCGGCAGAGATGGGTGAGCCCTCGTTCCCTGGGCGTTGCCCGTCTGATCGTCATTGGTCGTCAGCGCTGGCCTGGCTGCGCTCAGAGCTGGGGAGTCCTGGTCAGGGAGGGGCATCATACAGATACCGCGTGTCCCTGGAAGGACGGAGGAAGCGAGGGACAGGCCTAGACCTTGTCAAGCGTCTCTTAAGTGAAAAGGCTTCAGTGCTATCAGGGAGACAAGATTGATACAAACAAAGGAATTTGGGGTGGGTGGGAGGCTGGCCCTAGCAGCTGGGGGGTCAGGGTAGGCTTTATGGAGGAGGTGGCCCCTGAGGTAAACTCTGAAGGAGACTGAGAGGCAGAGGGGAAGAGAAGGCATTCTAGGCATGGGGTACAGCCTGGGCAAAGGTGTGGAGAAAGGAGATGTCAGTTGGAGATATTTGGGGAACATGACAAGAGTGCCCATTTGGCAAACAGAAGTATGAATTTGACCGTAGAGTAAATAAGGAGCCACTGCTATTTTTTGAGCAGGAGAATGAGATGTGCTTTAGAAAAATCATTTTGGCAGCTTGCACCAGGTGGGCCGGAGAGTCGCGTTGGCCGTGGAGGGCTCACAGTGTCCACCCAGGCTGCAGCCCTGCAGGCCTGTCGTCCTTGACGACCAGGGAGCAGAGAGGGTGTTCAGCCTGGGGTTGAGGGAAGGCACAGGTGGGGCTCCTGGGGCAGGGCAGGAGGCCTGCCAGGCTGGGACCCTCTGAGCCTAGGGTTTCCCATGGAAAGAGAAGCTGCTACGGGTGACCTTTCAGAGAATTCCCCCTGGAGGAGGGGTGCTGGGCTTCCTGGGCCCTGCCCCCTCTGCAGCAGTGGCTTCCTGAGCCTCCCAGGGAGGCCCTTTCTGCTGAAAGGCTGCCTCAGAGGCAGTGCAAGCTCTTTGGGCCCTGTGCACTGTCTGGACTCTTGTTCAATGTTTTGGTCAAGAAACTAATTTAAATAAAGGTTTTTGGTGGCCTCTTTTTTTTTTTTTTTTTTGGTGGCAGCTCTTTGCTTGTGAATACAGGATATGAAGTACCCACGTGCTGGGACTCTGAGAAAGAAGTGGAATAATGAAGGAGATGTTGCTGTCAGGGCCCCAGATTAGTAAGAAGATGACCCCCGAGATCTGACAGCGTTGTTGCGGCTGACAGAGGGCACCCCCTGCTTTGCTGCAGTGGCAGCCTGTGAAGACTCAGGTGCCCAGTGGTCAAAATGGTCCTTCCTTTGGGGGCTCCCCAGCCTGCCGCCCCTGGTTGGCAGCTCTGCAGAGGGCCCCAATGACAGCAGGGGCTCCGAGGAAGCAGTGAGGGTAGAAAAGGACTTTTTCAAACGCCTGACTCTGTTTGGGAGACTGGGAAAGGCTGAGTGTAACTCAGTCGTTTGTGAGCAAAAAGGCATTTAGGGTTAACCGTGCATTCGGGAGCTGGGGGGGTCTTGTCTCCGCCCCCCACCCCCAGCCCCTCTGACGGCTTCTCTCTCGCAGGAGTACATGGACCCCATGAACGAGTACAACGCTCTCAATGAAGCCAAGCAGATGATCGCCGTGGCCGACGAGAACCAGAACCATCACCTCGAGATGGAGGAGATCCTGAAGTATGGGGAGTACTTCACCGGAAGCAAGCTGATGGACTATGCCCGGAACGTGCACGAGGAGTTCTGAGGCTGCTTCCTCCTCGCTTGCCCGCCCCTGCTCCTGCCCCCCCGCCGAGAGGACAGAATCTCCTGCTGCTGTTTGTGTCGTGTGCCTGTGTGTGCGCACTCGCCTGGTTCCGAAGCAGAGAGCCTTTCATCCACTCAGAACTCTGAACGTTGGCTTCCGTCGTCCTGCCGCCTGTCCCAGATCGGCAGCGCAGTGGCCGCTGACCGTCCTCTTCCCCACCAGACCCCTCCTTTGACTCGTGACACACACCTGTGAAGTGGCTGAGTGGGATTGGGGGTGGGGGTGGAGATGGGGGCTTCACCATGGCTTAGAGCAGGGCAGACTGTGGCCCTTTTAAGGAAGAGGCAAGCCCAAGGCTAGTGCTTGACCAGTAGGAAGGAGGACAGAGATGGGCATTCACAGCTCCCTGTAGGTGACCCATGTTGGGGCACCCCCTGGTGTGGAGTGCCTGGGGTGGGGTGGGGCCTGGCTGGGGGCATCCCAGGCTTAGCCCTGAGGCCATGGCAAAGGGACCTCTGTTGGTGTTTACTGTGGTGGCCTTGAAATGAGTTGGTCCTTGGAGGTCATGCAGGCTAGAGGATCTTAATTTGACAGGAGCAGCATGATTTCCACTGTTCTCTTACGTTTTCTGGAGTAATCCTCAGGGCATGCTTGGGTGTGGCTGAGCCCGAGTGTGATGAGGAGATGGGCTTTTTCTCCTTGTCCCTGATGATGAAGCCGGCCCCCTCGGAACAGACCTGTCAGGTCGCTTTGAGACACTTCCATTTGTATTGGGCCTCCCCTGCCCTTCCCGCTACATTATTTTGTCCCAGCGGCATTTTTGTTTTTCAGATTTATTAAAAATTGCCTCCAAAAGCTTGGCTTGTTGTGTTTATGGGAAGGACAGAAGGGTAGCGTCTGGGAATGACTGGTCCAAGGTCACACACAGAAGCAGAGAGTGCCCGAGGTGGGTCTGGAAATGAGGTCCTGTGGGCTTCGAATCTTGTCCTCTCTCCATTGTACCCCCCCTGGCTATCAACCCAGACCCCATTAATATGTGCTATTCAAATGGCAGAAAATGTCACACACCCACCCACCCACCCCTTTGGTCACCACCACAGCCTTGTCTCCAGTGCCCCCTCCTGTCTTTGTGAAACCCTTTGAAGGAGGCGAGGGGCAGCTTCACTGCTCTGCTTTGCTCTGCTTTGCTCCATGGACCGGGAAAACTCTGAGGAGTATCTTTGACATGACAGTGAGCGCGTTTGCCAGAGGAAGTGATGAGTCATCATTCTGGAACCATGCGTGGTTTCTGCTGGGAGGGTGGTTCTGTCTCTAGGGTGGGGATGGGTTGAGGCCCCCTGCCCTTCAGTAATCCCCTTCATTATGCACTGCCTAGAGCCTGTCACGGAAGAGCAGGCAATGTATTTATCATCTGGGAATTTCGGATGGAGCAGATGATGTCTGGCAGATAGAAGCTGCTGCCTGGCTCGCTCTGCTGTGGCCTCCTCCCCAGTCCTGTTCAAGGCCAGTCAGCCAGCGTGTGTTAAGTACCGACTATGTGCCGGGCTGTGAGCCGGAGCAGAAGAGGATTCAGAGGTGAGCCTGCCTTCCCTGGTGGGCACTCCTCCTCTCCTGGGTCATTTTTATCTGCCTCTCCTGTCAGTCCTCCCTGGAGGGTCCCAGCCATCTCTTGGGGGGTTGGTCTGGAGCGTGCCACTTGGGTCTGCCCAGCCATCTGGCAGTTGCCTCCTCAGCATGTGATTGGTTTTTTCTTTTCTTTCCTGTCCTGCCGCCTCTCACTGCTGACGTGCTGCAGCCTGCTCGCTCACGCCCGGCATCCATTGGGGTTATTTCAAGTCATCTGGGTGCCATGAGTCATAACCTAGTACATCAGTCTGGGCAGGACTGGCCCTGGAGAGGTGGGCTTTTGTGTTGGGGAGCACATGGGGATCCTGGAAAGGATTTTGTGCCTGCGCAGCATGCCTGTCTGGGTGTGTGCTGTGTGTATAATGTGGGAACGCTCACATCACGCACAAGTTTCGTTTGGGTCGTTGGCCGTGGTGGACCAGGACTGTGTGTTCTGATGGCCGCAGGCAGTCGGTGAGACTGGACTGCACCTGGGACAGAGAGGCAGGGGCCAGTTCATCATTCAGCCATGGTGCTGCCCCAGGATCCCCTCTCCCCTCGACAATTGTCCACAGCCTCTTAATTAAATGGAGACTATCGACGTCAGGAAGCCTGCAGCATCAACCCGTTGCTGAGATTGGTACCCAGTAGTCCAGTTTATAGAAAAGCATCATGATGTAGAGGATGGTGTGCTGGGTGTGGAATCAAATGGGTCAAATCCTGGCTGACATCAGGTGTGCCCACGGAGGCCATCTAGGGAGTGTCTGCAACATGAGCCCCTGCCCACGGCGTCTCATGCTAACTTACCTTCTCGAGCCTCAGTTTCCTGTAGGTGTAGATAAGTCACACAATAGGGCCTCCCTCACAGGATTGCCATGAGAATGAACCGGGAGAGATGTCACAGTGTAATGCGCTTTGTCAGTGTCGTGCCGCCTTGGGACAAGGTCTTCAGACGGGCTTGGTTCACCACTGACCAGTTCCCTATCATAGATGTGAGTGGCTGATTGTGACCAGGGCTCAGTTCCACGGCAGTTTTTGTGTTTTCTCTCACTAACTCTTTCCACAGGGCCCTCAGAGACAGTATTTCCCCCTCCCTGACAATGTCTGCTAAGACCGCTACTGAGCTAGGCTCCCAGCCGTCTGGGGGCTTACTCCCCACATCACTGAGAGTCGATTGTTGTGGTGTACCTAACTGTGAGTAGGCAGAGTTTGTATAAAAATAGACAAGGGGAAAAGTTTTAATATAGCCTTTTAAAGGGCTTTAAAATCAAGCTTCGGTTTTTGCTAGTATTAACAATGACCAAACCGTTGAAGGTCCTGGGTGCGAACGACGCTTGGCTTCCAGTTCTGTGGCTCGAGACTGCTGGACACAGCCAACAAGACCCATGGTCGGGTCTTTCCAGTCGCCTCTTTCTTCATACGTCCATGTCCAACTCTGATTATTGGAGAACTTCAGCCTCCGTCACAGGGCACAGGGTAAATGAAGCCCGCATTTTGTGGGAGCGTGTGATTTTCACACAAGGGGGACGTGGTAGTTCTCATCAGAGGCCTTTCTCAAAACAGGCCATCAGCCCTGATAATAGAAGTGTGAACAGAATAAGAATTCTTAAGTTAGCTGATGGTTCTTGAGTGTGACCGTTAGCCCTGACTTATACTTGAGAGAGTTTCTGGCGATGGAAAATGCTTCCGAAGGCCAATAACACCTACCCCTCAGAACTGGGCTGCAGCAGACATCCCTGTGCTCCCACGGGGTACAGGTGATTGAGTGGTGGGCCTGGAGTCAGTCACATCTGACTCTTTGTGACCTCTTTTGTGGTTTTCTTGGCAAAGATACTCAAGTGGTTTGCCATTTCCTTCTCCAGCTTATTTTACAGATGAGGAAACTGAGGCCAACAGGGTGAAGTGACTTGCCCAGGGTCACACAGCTAGTATGTGCCTGAGGCCAGCTTTGAACCCAGGTGTTCCTAACTCCAGGCTCCCCACTTATCTGCTGCACCTCCTAGCTGCCCAGAGTCTGGAAGACTTGAGTTCAAGTGTGGCCTTAGGCATGTACTAGCCGTGTGACCCTAGCAAGTCACTTAAGCTCTAATTCAGATTCCTCAAATGTGAAAAGGGAAAAGGGTAAGATCCTCCCTGCAGGCGCTATTGTGGGGATCCAATGAGATAATATTTGTGAAGCGCTTAGCACGGTGCCTGACACATAGTAGGCATTTAATAAATCCCTATTTCCTTCTTTTTGAATTTCATCTTAGATTCAACCCAGTGCTCTAAAATTCTGATTCTGGCCTCCATTATGTTAGCTACCCCTGCCTTGCACCCCCACCCCACCCGCAGCTGTTTGTCGTCTCCTAATTTGGTGAGCTTGTTATCTAGGGTTAGGCCTTTATCTAACAGCACAGGCTAAGCACAGATCCCTGGGGCATTCCACTGGAGACCTTCTGTGCTGACACTGACCCCGGGGGTTCACCACCCTTCTTTTGGCCTTCTGACCAGTTCTGAGGCGAGGCTCACCCAATCCATCTCTCTGAGAATAGCCCAAGATGCTTTATCAAATGCTTTGTTAAACTCTATGTCCTTAGCTTACTAACCCTGCCCTCCCCCCAAAAATAATAGAACCCTGTGTAAATCTCTGTAGACTCAGAGACTGCCTAGGAAACCTTCAGGGGAGCCTGGTTGCTTAACGGGGTTGTGTCCTCACTGCTTAGCAGCATGGCTGGCAGACACTAGGTCCTCGTGAACGTTTCCTGGCTGATGTCATCTTCCTTGTACCCCCGCTCCCCATTGTACCCTAGTCAGGACCACCATCATGGCACGTTCGCGCACACCCCCACACACCTGCACTGAGTTGAGTCCGTACAGGGCCCACAGACCACCTGCTGGTCAGAGCGCAGATCAGATGGCGTCACAGTACCAACATTAAACCAAGGGAAGTTTGCTCGTGCAGGTGGGGGCCCGGGCTTGTACATCAAAAAACCTGGTTTCCCTTCACCTGTAGCAGCTCCGGCCTGGGGAGGGAGTGGGGATTTCCAGTCGTTACCAGAGGAAGAAAAGAAAAACCCAACCAGGGATGAAACCAGGGAGGAAAGGAGGGTTGTTTTTTCAGGGTTGGGTGTTGTTTTTCTTTAATAACATGTGAAGGGCTCATCATCACTCCCCACCCCCACACCCTCCTGCCTGGAGTATCTCCTCATGAGCAGCAGTGACATCAGGAGGGGACAAAACTGACCTCTGAGCTCAAGGAACCCCTGTGTCCCTAGAAAAGACCCCTCAGTCAGGTAGAATGTGAGTTAATGACATTTTATTATTATTATTAGAAATACTTTATAAATCTCTCATTTGATTTTTATAACAACCCTGTAAGTGCTTTTATTATCTTCATTTTACAGATGAGGAAACTGAGGCAGACAGTAGTTAAGTTGCTTTCATAAGTGAAAGACTAAGATGATCGGCTGCTCTCAGAACCCACCTTTCCCAAGTCATGTCGCTGTGGTTCCTCAAGCTGCCTCCATCCCTTTCTCACAACTACCTAAGAGAATCTTTTCCTTTAATCAAGGCTCAACTCAGGGGTCAGCCTTCCCTGGTTCATCCAGTTGTTAATGTTTTCTTTCTCTTCATGTTGCTTCATGTGTATGTGTATGTGTGCATGTGGTCCCAGGACTGTGCCATGCTTGTCATATATAGGTATATGTTTATGTATATGTGTATATGTATATACACACAAATATATATGTATGTGCATGTATATGTGTATATACATGTGTGTGTGTGTGTGTGTGTATAATAGTGATTTTTACACTATTTCCCAATAACTTTGTAATTCCAGGGATATAATCTCACTTTACTCACAGAAACACTAAAGAGGTTGGCATGTCAACGCAAGTCTACCCTTCATGAAAGGGTAGCAGCAAGCTCAGAAACGTTTTTGTTTGTGAGAAGTTTGGAAGACATTTGCCCTGGCTATTTTTTTTTCTTCTGTTGTGTTTTGTCTCCTCTTTCTGGTGGTTTCTCCTATTAATTCTAATTCTTACTTACAGCATCACTAATGTGAAAATATGTTTAATAAGAATGTATATGTAGAGCCTGTATCAGAATGCATGCTGTCTTGGGGAGGAAGAGAGGGAAGGAGGGGGAGAAAGATTTAAAACTCAAAAGCTTATGGAAGTGATTGTTGAGAAATCAAAATAAATTAAGAAAAAAAAACCAAACAAAAAGAAAAAAAAAAAGGAAAAAAAAAGACATTTGCCCTGGAACAGACCAGAGAGGAAACAGGAAGACCAGAGCCAGGCAAGTAGGTGATGACGTTCTTGTGGCCGTCTCCTGCCCAGGAGTAGTTCCATAAAAACTCAACCTCTCTTCCTGCTTCCGCCATAGTTTCCTTTCCCATTGTCTTGGGGTGATGGAGGATGGTAAGGCTGGTTTTTCGTAACAGCAAAGGCTACGACAGAAAAATAGGAAGCATCGTGGAGAAGGATGCTGACCACCAAGTGAGTGGACAGCTCTCCTCCACATGGATTTTCAAATTGAAGCCTCAAAGACACTGGCCTCCGGGGCAGAAAAGACAACATGGTGCCGGTGCTCGAAGCTCAAAATACATATGTTGTCCCATGAAAATTCAAAGCAAGTCGGTATTGGTCTGATGGAATCCCACTGACTCATCGAGTCTCCATCTCTAAGACGCTTGACTTTGCACCCTCAATTTAAAATGTTCATTTAGTAAGGGCAGGAGAAAGAAGAGATGATTAGAGGTGTCTGAGGTGTGTAGAAGCAGCTACTTAGTGACCCCTGTAATGCTAGAGTGGTCTGCCATTCAGGGGTGTGTGGGGGTTGGGGTGAGGGGAAGAGTAGATTTTTCGGGTGGTTTTTGGCAAACCCTAGGGAGCCCCTTGCCCCAAACCCATCTGCTTTCTCCTACTCTGTTTCCCCTCCCCGCCCCACAACATATCAGTACGCTAGACTTTGTTGTCAAAAAAGAATACACAATGCGGGATGGGGGGAGGGGAATTTTAGTTTCTGTGGGAAAAGTTCTGGGGGTTTTAATGAACTCATTATGAGTCAGCAGTATGATAGGCTCCCCCCGCCAAACAACAGATATGACTTTAAACTATATTGAAAGGTCTCGTGCCCGGGACCAGGAAAGTCCTGGTCCTGCTGTCCTCTGTCTTGCTTGGACTTCGTTGGGAGTTTTGTGTTCATTTGAAGCAAGGGAGGGCATTGATAAGCTTGAGAGTGACCAGGAAGGTGAAAGACCTTGAGTCCATATTATATGGGGATCCCTTGAAGGCACTAGAGATATTTAGGTTGGAAAAGAGATTTGTTAGGGGGGGAGGAGGGTATGGGGCAGACAGGTCTTTGGAAGAAGGATTAGCCTGGCCTCCCAGACAGATGTGGGAGCAATCAGCAAATGTAACCGATTGGCAGGTGCAGGCTGTCCCAGAGTAGAATTCTTGTGCCTGTTGAGTATATCCAAGTTATCCTGTGTATAGCATGTCTGTACATATGGATTGTCTCCTCAATTAGACAAGGAGCACCTCAACACCTGGGGCTGTCCTTCATCTTTCTTTGTCTCCTCAGTGCCTGGCTTGAATAAATGCTGGTTGACTAGCCAATTTGAATAGGCTGCATCAGATATAGTGGGCTCCCCCCTCCCTGACTGGATGTTTATAGAAGGGATTCTTATACAGGTATTGCTTGGACCAGTCCCAACTCAAGTTCTAAGTTCCCTTCATTCCAGGCATGGGGGAACACAGCCTGTGCAAAAATCATGAGGATAGGAATCTCATATATAGTCAACAGCAAGAAAGTTGGCTTGGGTAGTGACCTAGTGTTTGATAAACTCAATGACCCCAGCTTTTGGGACGAGAATTCACTATTGACAAAAACTGCTGGGAAAACTGGAAAACAGTATGGCAGAGACCAGATATAGACCAACAACTTACACCATATATTGAGATAAGGCCAAAATGAGTACATCATTTAGACATTAAGGGTGATACCATAAGCAGATTAGGAGAGCAAGAAGTAGTTTGCCTGTCAGATCAATGGAGAAGGGAAGAATTTATTAACAACATATGGCCTCAAGGCCCCAGGTTGCTCACCCCTGACTTACACCATCTTAGGGAGGAGGAAGGAGATGAGGGGAGAAAGGGAGGGAGAAAATTTGGAGCTCAAAATTTATCAAAAAATGAATATTGAAAATTGTCTTTACATGTAATTGAGAAAAATTTTTAGAAAGAAAGTTGATTTGGCTTGATGGTACAATTCACGAAGGGGAATAATGTGGAATGGGTCTGGAAAGATAGGTTGATTCCCAATTGTGAAGGGCCTTTAATGCCAAAGAAAATGGTATTTGGGCTTTTGGGTACCAAGCCACCAAATGTTGTGTAACTCAGCCAGACTTGGGCTTTCAGTCTAAGTTTGGTGACTGCATGGCTGCTGGCTGGGAGAGGGGAGAGACTGGATGCAGGGGGTCCAATTAAGAGGTCATAGAAATAATCCAAACGAGAGGGGATGAGGTTGTTTACCAGAGGGGAGGCTTCATGAGTCAAGAGGGTCGGATGCCAGAGTTGATATGGAGGCAGAATCAGCCAGACTCGGCAGCTGATTGGAGGTCAGGGCTAAAAAGTAAAGAGTAAAGAATGAGCCCAAGATTTGGAACCCTGTGACTAAAAGGCAGAAATAGGAGAGTTGAGAAAACGTTTTGTAAAATGAAAGGGGATGGCAGTGACCTCCAACTGTCCTTCTGGCTCTTCACTGATGAAGCTAGGAACCCTTCCAATGATATCACAGCCCCCAGGGGTTCTACTGTTCACAGATTGGGAACAATTGGATTAGATTATCCAAGGCTCCTCCCAGTTCTAAATCTCATATTCTTGTGATGGATAAACGTTTCAGAATGCCCAATTTAGGCCCGATATCAGGAGCAACAATTTTCTTTTTTTTTTCACAATTAGAATTACCCCAAAATGGAATGGGCTGCTTTGGGAGGGAGAACTCTCTCCTCACTAGAGGTTGTCTACTGTAGAGATTGGATGGCCCCTTGTTGGGGATTTGATAGAGGTGGTGTCTAGCCAGATATGGATTGGATTGCCTCCAAGGCACATTGGATCTAATTGAATAGGGAACACCAGGAAATGTTGCACAGTTGCTGGGGCTTTAGTGGACCACTACCCTCCATATGAATCAGAAGGCAAATACATCCCCAGGCTGTATGAAAGAAGCATGATGTACTAGGGCTGTATCCCAAAGAGATCACTAAAAAGGGAAAAGGACCCACATGGACAAAAATATGTATAGCAGCTCCTTTTGTGGTGTTCAAGAATTGGAAATTGAGGGGATGCCTATCAATTAGGGAATGGCTGAACAAGTTGTGGTATATGAATGTAATGGACTACTATGGTGCTATAAGAAATGATGAGCGGGTGGATTTCAGAAAAACCTGGAACGACTTGTGTGGACTGATGCTGAGTGAAGTGAGCAGAACCAGGAGAACGCTGTACACAATAACAGCCATGTTGTGTGATGACCGACTTTGACAGACTTAGCTCTTCTCAGCAATACAGTGATCTAAGACGATTCCAAAAGACCCATGATGGAAAATGCTATCCACATACAGAGAAAGAATTATGGAGTCTGAATGCAGATCAAATCATTTTTTTTTTCTTTCTCGTGGTTTTTCCCCTTTTGTTGATTCTTCTTTCACAGCATGACTAATGTGGAAATATGTTTAATATGATTGTACATGTATAGCCTATATCAGATTGTATGCCATCTTGGGGAGGGGATGAAAGTCTTATAAAAGTGAATGTTGAAAACTATCTTTATGTGTAATTGGAAAAAACTATTAAGTGTGTGTGTGTGGGGGGGGAGAATGACCCAATGGAAGGGGAAATAAAAATAGATTTCTGCTTTAAAAAGTAAAATAAAATAAGTATAGAATGTACAAAAAAAAAAGGAAAAGAAAAGAAAAAGGGCACAGTGTCCAGGAATAAGGAAACGATAGACTTGTACTCTCTACCCGGGTTGGACCACGTAGGGAATATTGTGCATATTTAATAGATGAGGCTTGTAAACTGTTGATAATCCAGAGGAAGACCAGGGTGGTGACTGGTCTCCAGTTCATGCCATAAAGACAGGTTGAGGGAACTAGGAGTCTATTCTGGAGAAAGAAAGACTCAGGGTGGGGAAAGATGAAGGGAACACATGAGAGCTGTCCTCAAGTATTGGGAGGGACCTGGGTAAAGGAGGGACTTATCCCAGACAACAGCTAGAACCAAGAGCAGCAGTAGAGGGCAGTTGGAAGCCGATTCAGGCTCGATTTCAGGGAGGTTCTTTCTCACCCGTGGAGAGGAGGGAGCAGGGTCCTCCTCGCGCAATCTTCAGACAAAGGCTGGACAACCCTCTCTCAAGAACACTGCGGGAGAGTGCATTTTCCATGTGCAGACTGTGGTAGGGTGCCTCAGCGGTTGATCCAACTGAGATTCTGTGATTCTGTGAAAAAACAACCACCTCGACATCCGCTGAAAGGGGCTTTCCCTTGTGAAGGAGGAAGGGTTTTTGGCGTCCTGAGCTCTCAGTGCAGGCAGAGGCTGTGGAACAGAGGGAGGCAGGAAGATGACTGGCTGGCATCGGTACCTGTGGAGGCCCGTGACGCTCCTCTGCCTCCTCGCTGCCCAGCTGCGCCCTGCCTCTCTGCACCAGTGTGGCAAGTACTCTTACAGCGTAGCTGGCAAGTGCTGCCAGTACTGCAAACCCGGTGAGTCCTGGGGCACGAGAGCACCGGGGCTGGGAGGGAGGGAGGGAGGAAGATGGCTTCATAGAATTGGGGGGTTAAAACTGGAAGGGGACCTCTGAGGTCAACTAATCCAACCCCACCATTTTGCAGAGGAAGAAACTGAGGGCCAGAGAGGCTAAAGGTCCCACAGGCAGTAATGAGCAGAGGGTGGGATTCAAACTGAAGTCTTCTGCTTCCAAATCTCGGACTCTGCACCAGAGAGTAGAGAGATTGGGGGAGTGGAGGGGAAAGTCCACAAGTATTTATTAGGGGAAAGAGGGAGGGAACAGGCATTGAACCAATGCCTTCTGTGTACCAGGCCCTGCACTAAGTGCTTTGCAAATATCTCATTTGATCCTGGGATCTAGGTGCTATTATGATCCCCATTTTACAGTTGGGGAAACAGAGGCAGATAGGTTGAGTGACTTGCCCAGGGTCACACAGCTAGTAAGTGTCAGAGACTGGATTTCAATCTGACTCTTCCTGCCTCCAGGCCCAGAGCTCCATCAAACAGGGCCTAGCTGCCCATATACTATGTATACTAGGCGCCAGGCACTGCTCTGAATGTTGGGGATAAGAAGACAGGCAAAAGATAGCCCCTGTTCCCAAGGAGCTCCCAGGCTAAGGGGGGAGGCATCAGCTGTGTACAAACAAGACACACAGAGAGGTAGACTCAGAGGGAAGGAAAGTTGCGAGATTAAAGACCAGTCATTTGAACTGCCTTTGGGGCCCACATCTAGCCTTCTGTGGCCACATGTCATCCTCACCCCCATTTTGTAGATGGGGAAACTGAGGCCCAGCCTTGCTGAAGATCACACAGCTAGTAAGTATCAGAGCCGGGATCTGAACCCAAGTCTTCGGACTCCAAACCAGCACTATTTCCGTGGAGGAGGGGGAGGGAAGGAAAGGCATTTTTATATAGCACCTACTGTATGTACTTTGTACTATAGTACAAAGTACCATGCAGTACTTTGTGAAGCACTTTACAAATATCTTATTTGATGCTCACAGCAACCCTGGGAGGTAGGTGCTATTATCCTCATTTTACAGGGGAATCTGAGGCAGACAGAGGTTAAATGACTTGCCCAGGGTCATACAGCCAGTAAGTGGCTCGTTTGTGATTTGAACTTGGAGTTTTCTGACTCTGTCCGCTGTGTCACTAGCTGCCTCCGTGATACAAGGCTGCCAGCCTCTAAGTCATTAGTGTTTAATGTCGTTTGATGTGGGCTGTCCCTTCTGTGAGGCTCTGATCTCGACCTGCCACCCAAGGAGCCGATGCCAGCCAGTGCCGGCCACAGGCGGTCCCATCCCTCACCCATGTGTTGGGTTTGGGGGCTCAGGGAGGCTGCCCTGAGAGGCAGGGGGTGGAGTGTTGAGCCTGGGGAGGAGTGCAAAGCCCAGGATGATTGAACCATGCAGTGGGTGAAGTCTGGAAAGGCTGGACTTCAGTGCCAGGCTAGAGGAGGCTGGCCTGGGGCCGGGTGTGCCCATACAGGCTTGTGTGCCTAGTGTCTTCTGTCCAGAGCTGGGGCGGGGGGCAGAAGCCATCTAGTCCAACCGGTTATTTTTTTTTCAGAAGAGGAAATAAGCTCAGAAGGGGGGAAGGAGCTTGCCTGAAGTCACACAAAAAATAAGCATTGGAGGCAGGATTTGAACCTGGTTCCTCTGACTCTAAAACACATCTTTCCCCGTACCATACTTTCTCCATGTCTCCCCTTCCACTTCCACTCCAGCCTCATAGTTAAACCTGATCCATAAGGACTGTTCAAATGTTTTTGTGTCCTTAGCACCTCTCATAGTGCCTGGCACATAGTAGGTTCTTAATAACGCATGTTGAGTTGAAAGGAGAGCTCCAGCTGAAGTGCATTCCCTGAGGAGGGAAGAGGCATCAACAGCTGGGGGCTGATGGAAGGCTTCATGGAAGAGGTGACGCCTCAGCTGAACCTTGAAGGACGGCAAAGATTCTGAGAAGCAGAGATGAGAGCGTATTTTCCCAAGCGTAGGGGTTGACTTGTGCAAATGCGTGGATGTGGTAGATGACATGTGTCGTTTAGGGGAGTAGCTAGTGGCCCAGGGTGGCCGGGGAGGCACGTGGAGGTGGCTGGGGGTGGGGAGATGTGCAGAGATGAGACGGTGCCCCTGGTGTTGGGTGACAGTCTGACAGCGGCCAGGCTCACGCTGGCTCCACTTGGGCCGCACCACAGGTTTTGAGATGGCAAGTCGCTGTACCGATAAAGAGGACACACAGTGCAAACCCTGTGCCAAGAGGCTCTTCAATGAAGGATTCAGCAATGACTTCTGCCAGCCCTGCACTCAGTGCAATGTCGGTAAGGGATAGTCCCACCCCCTCCCTGGTGCTCCCCCTCCTCTCTGGTGCTCCCCTCCCCTCCCTGGTGCTCCCACCCCTCCCTGGTGCTCCCCAACCTAGAAGAGAATGCCCTGACCCTGAGCTGAGAGAATACTTGTCTGTCGTCCTGCCTGTGACCCACCTTCCTTACCTCCTACCTTCCCTTGGTAAGTCCGTGGCCAGGCCTATGGTCCAGCGCCTACCCTCACTGGGCCTTGAGGTCATTCACCTTCTTCTGTTTCTTCCTTGGCCCTTATTCCTCTGCCTCAGAGCTACCTTGGCCAGAGGCCTTTGGGCCTGGACATCACCCCTACCACCCCTGGTCTCCCCCAGCTCAGCTGTCTCACCCTCAATGCACTCGAGAGCGGCATCAGATTTTCCCCAAATGGGCTTGACTAGAAATGGAAGTAAATCCTTTGAGCCGGGGAATCTCAGACCAAACTCCCCTAATTTGACCCCGAAGGCTTCTTCTTGCCCAGAGATGGTGCCTTCCTGGCCCTTCCCGCCAAACTCCAGAAGCCACGCTTTGGATGCACCACTAGTCCTCACCATAAGCCTTGTGCTTCCCAAAGAGGGGGCCATAATCAACCTGCCCCACACCAACTCACCCCTGACCTTGGGTGAGACTCTCCCCCACTCTGGGCCACATCTCCCTGCTCTGTAAAATGATGGCATTGTTTGCTGGATCATCTTTCAGAGCCCTCCCAGTCATGACATTCTATATTCTGAGGCCCCTCCCAGCTCTGACTTTCCTTGTTCTCAGGTCCCTCCCAGCTCTGAGGTTCCCTGTTCTAAGGCTCCCCCCAGCTCTCGCATTGTCTGTTCTAAGGTCTCTCCCACTTCTGACATTCTGTGTTCTAAGGGCCCTTCCAGCTCTGACATTCCCTGTTCTAAGGCCCCTCCCAGCTCTGCCATTCCCTGTTCTAAGGCCCCTTCCAGCTCTGACATTCCCTGTTCTCAGGCCCCTCCCAGCTCTGAGGTTCCCTGTTCTAAGGTTCCATTGTACTCTAAATCCTATGATTGTATGACTGGAAAGAAAGTTTCCGGCCAGGGATGCTGTCTTCCACCACTTCACCATGGTGCAGATGTGCCCTTGGGTTCTCGTAGACGACGGCAGTAGAACAACCCTGGCAGGTTCTAACATTCTGGGCAGGCTTGGGCCTCCGTCCGTGTGAGGGGGCTTCCCTGGGGAGCTGTGGTGTTGATTCCTGGGATGTCTGGTCCTCTTGCCCTTGGGCGGTCATGACTAGCGTGCCTTACCAGCCGGTAACACCTGGGAGGTACTCCAGGGGAGGGAAATGGTGTGAGCCACGGCCAGGGGCAGGCAGCAGCTCGGGGGATCCAGTGAAGGGGCAGTCTGGCCCCCGCCAGACCCGGCTCCTCTTCTGGTCACCCGCACCGCACACTGGCGCAGGGCGGGCATCAATACATTTTCTTAAAAAACATGCCTCCCTCCCGCGGTTGTTGGGATCCAATGAGGTTGTGTGAGAGGTACTTTGTAAACTTTTAGGTACAATTTAAATGTCAGTGCTCAGATAAACCTCCAAAAGATGGTGGAGGGCAGAGGATGAGCTGCATTGGTAAACAGTTTGTTCTCCTCTGGGAATTCTCTATACCGGTGAAGTGTTGTCTTCCCTTTTCTCCACTACCACATCACCCCCACCCCCAACCAACCAACCAACTGAAATCCAACCATTTTTATTGTTGTTGAGTTGATTTTAGTAATTCCAACTCTTGGTGATTCCATTTGGGGTTTTCTTTTACTGGAGTGGTTTAGCATTTCCTGTTCAGCTCATTTTACAGACGAGGAAACTGAGGCAACAAGGGTTAAGTGACGGGCCCAGAGCCACACAGTTAATAAGTGTTTCAAGGCCAAATTTGAACCCAGGAAGATGAGTCTTCCTGATTCCAAGCAGGTACCATCAAAACCAACAATAACAATAACCCAAACCATCTGTCATTGTTAAGCAAGAAGACCAGTGTGCAGGACCGCAGTGCAGGTGCTCGCACCTGCTGAGCAGGGAGTGAAGGGGCCAAGACCTGGAGGAGCCCCCCAAACCACAGCAGCTGCCCTGCCAGGGTCATCTGGGGTTGTAACAAGGTGGGGGCGGCACAAGAGAGGACAGCAAAGTGAAGAGAGAGAGCGCAAAGGGGGGTTGGAGGCAGAACGTCTGTGTACACGTGCATATATGAGTGTGTATGTCTGTGTGCAGTGGACGACAGTCTCAGAGCTGGAAGAGTTCTCTAGGGCCATTTAAGCCAACCAAGCCTAAGCAGGCATCCCACTGACCACAACGATTTCAGTAATTGCTATTTCACTGATGGAAAGCAGCCACCCCAATAAGGTACATGTTATAGCTGGGGAGAAAGAAATGTACCTCCCCCTCTCCTCCTCCCCCTCTCCTCCTCTTCCTCCTCCTCTTTCTCTTCTCCCCCCCCCCCCCATCTCCCTCCACCCAGCTCATGGTCCATGTAACTCAGAAAGTCTCAGTGAATGCTAATTGAAATGCTGATGAATGAAGAGCTGGGGAGCTCTCTCACTAGTGCTGCACCCATTTCCTCAACCACAGAAGCAAACCTCAAACCCCATGGGATCCTTACTGCTGGGGGTGTATGAGCCAACCCAGAGGGGGCAGAGGGACAGCCCCTGCAAAGACAGGGCATAGTGTGGTATATGTGTGTATATGTTTTGCATGTGTTTATGCGTATAGCTCATATTTATATGAAGCTTTAAGGTTTACAGAGCACTTTAAACATTATTACCTCATTTGGTCCTCACAACAACTCTGAGAGGGGGTGCTATTATTATCCTCATTTTACAATTGGGGAAACTGAGGCAGGCAGCAGTGAGGTGACTTGCCCAGGATCCCCCAGCTAGGGAGCATCTGAGGCTGGATTTGAACTCCAGGGGCAGCGCTCTCCCCTCTCCATCGTTAGCTAGTCCAGCACAGCATGCGTGACCACTCAGTCCTGAACTAGGAAGAGGAGCCCTGGACTCTATTCCCTTCTGTTCATTTTGCCAGGAATTGTACAGAGATCCGGACTCCTGCCTGGGCCCTCCCTCACCCCGACCCCCGGGGAAGGGAAGCTGCTCACTGACTCTCTCTTTTTTCCCTCCTGCTGCTCAGGGAGCGGCAGCCAGGTCCTCAAGAATTGCACAGCGTCCAGTGACACCATGTGTCAATGCACCCCAGGGACCCAGCCCGTTGAAACCTTCAAGTGGGGAGTGGGTGAGCAGCTCCTACCAGCCCCACCCAGGAGAGGGTGTCTCAGAACCCCAAGTCTTCCCTTCCAGGGTTATGGGTCGTGTGTGTGTGTGTGTGTGTGTGTGTGTGTGTGTGTGTGTGCATGCACACGCATACTGTGTACGTGTGAGTCAATATGGGGGCAAACCAGTGTGTGTGTGCATGTGTGACTGGGTATATTTGTGCAGCTATGTGCCTCTGTAGGTGAGTGTCCATCTATGAGAAGAGGGATGGGCTTGCATAGATGGGGATTGGGGCGGGGCAGGGGAGAGTCAAGTGCTCAGGTGAGGAAATCAAGTTCTTCTTGAGCCCAGGCATGGAGAATGGTGAACTACTCAGACACATAGCCCCTGGCTCCCGCCCCGCCCTTCCTCCTGTCCCATCCCTTTCTGTTTCCTTCTTCCCTTTCCCATTTCCTCTTCCTCTTCCAGAATGACATCCCTCCTAGAGAGCAGAGAGGGGAGGTCACCCCGCAGAGCGTGTAGCTCCCACCTTTCTCTGCCCAGGACCAAAGAGTGGGTCACCCTAAGCAAAGCTCTCCTTGTCTTTGGTTCCAGAATGTTCCCGTTGTCCCCCAGGACACTTTTCCCTGGGAGAAAACACCATGTGTAAACTGTGGACCAAGTAAGTTACCAAGTGCTGTGAAGGGGACAGGAACTCAAACAGACCCTGGTGCCCGGACCTCAGCCAGCCCTGAGCTCCTGGCACAGCTAGGGAGGGGAAACTGATAGGATGAGGGAGCCCCCCATTCCCCTGCTCCTCCCTCCACCTCAAAGACTCCCCAATACCTCCTGGATCTCGGGCGCCTGGGCAGAAGGGGTGAGGGGCTGGCTCCCTGCACTCTGGCCCTGCCCTCACACACCTATTTCCGCTCCCACCCCCCAGCTGCACGGCCATAGGCAAACGTACCCTGCGAGCCGGTAGCCCCAGGGCCGATGCTGACTGTGAGGATGCCAGGACGCCAGGGCCACCCCGAAGCCCTCCAACATCTGCCTGGACCACGACCACCAGCTCCTCCTCCACAGTGCACTTGAGGGTCACTACACAGAGTCTAGGAGTGCTGAGCACCCTACAGTCCCTCCCTGACAAGCCCTGGTGTAAGGACGTGCCCTTGGCCACCTCGGCCTTCGCCCCAGCCCCAGCTCTCCTTGCCATCCCCACCCCCACCATGTGCAAGCTCTCCAGGGCTGGGGGAGAGAGACGAGCACCTGGCTTCAAATCCTGGCTTGGGAGCCTCTAGTGTGGGTGCCCCTCGCCATGTCTGGGACTCAGCTTCCTCACCTTAAAAATGAGGGGTCTTACTGGCTGGGCTCCCAGGTTCCTCTCTGCTCCCGTGGCCTTCTGGGTTCAGACCCGCTGCCTTTTGAGGAGACGAGAACCTCCACTCCTAGACAGAAGGTGATGTCTTTGAGACCCCTTGCTCCTCCAGGCAAACCTGCCCACAAGCCCTAAAGCCCCAGGGGCCAGGGCAGAGGGCTGCTTTGCCCATGGCTGCAGGTGTTGGGGAGGCAGCCACCTCCATCACTGGTCCTTCCTTATCTTGCAGCCCCATTTGCCGTCATCTTCCTGGTGCTCCTTCTGCTCTTGGTGTTTGGCCTGGTTATGTTGGTATTCGGTATCTACTTGTCCAAGAGGGACAAGAGGCAGTTGCCTGCAATTTGGAAGCCCCCTGGTGAGTCCACCCTGCTCCCCTCTTCCTGCCTTCCTCCCCACCTCCCTCTGAACAAGCTCAGGGGAACAGGGAGAGAAGACCTAGGTGAATGTGAACAGAGGTGGTAGCATTACGAGGTGGATGGGGGCGGGGGAATTGGGGTCATGTGGTTGTCAAGAGTCTGGGTGGGTGGTTCCATCTGCCCCCGCAAAGGTGCCTTGTGTCCTCGCCCCCTGCTCCATGGCCAGTGCCTTCTTCCTCCATCCCCAGGTACACACAGTTTCCGGATGCCCATCCAAGAGGAACACCAGTCCAGCCTAGCCAAGGTCTGAGGCCGTGGAGACCACAGACAGTGGCCATCCTTCCTTCCCTCCCTCCTTCCCTCCCTCCCTCCATTGACTGGACCTGCTATCGGAAGGCTGGGGGCCTCAGGGGGCTCTCTCCATCCAGCTTTTTCTCCTACCCTACCCTCAGGTCCAAGCTACTTTTCTAGCAGCCCAGACTAGATCCCACGGGGGTTATTAGGGTTTCCTCTGTACCTCTTTCTGAAGGCAACCATTGGGGTCCGTTGTATCTAGAAGCTCATCTGAGTTCTAGGGGGCCTGCATTTCACAGCAAGTATACAGGCTTAGCCAGTACAAATCCCCAGCATCTGAGAGTTGGAAGGAAGCTCCACGACTGTCTTGTCTAATCTACACCCAGAGAAGCCCTACTCTAACATGCCCAATGAGTGGTCATCTGGCCTCTGCTTGAAAGCCAGGCCTAGCTCGCATTGGTCAGTGGTTCTTCGCCCAGTGGAAGGAGCATGCGGTCTGGCGTCAGGGATCCCGGCTCTCCCACTTGTACTCTGTGGTCTTAGGCAAGTCCCTTGGGCTTTCTAGGTCCCAGCTTCCTCTTTTCCAAAATGAGGGGGTTGGATCAGATGATCTCGAAGGTTCCTTCTAGCTCTGTCCTTTTAATGAGTGTTTAACCATTTTTCAAAAACACAGACACAGGGCTTCTCACACAGAAAGATTCTCAGGGACAGAAATCTAGATGACCCAGGGCCTAAAGAAGGTTAGGTGGCCAGAGATCATCCTGCCCCCTTTCATCTTTCCACATCTTTAGTTCTCCCACCAAAATGAGCCCCAAGGCCAGCATCTCTGCTTCTGTCTTTTCCGGTCCGGGTGTAGATGCCTTTCGTGGCCCCATCCTCTCTGCTGGCCTAGCAGCAACGCTGGCCCAGAATGGGTGCATTTCTGGCTCCCATCCTCTTCCTCCTTCTTCTGTTGCCGTGTTCCCCAAAGTCTGGGCCTAAGCCCTGCTGTTGATCCCCATTCCCACATTCCCACTCTTGGTCCTCCCCTCCTCCCCCCCTCCCCTTCAAAAAAATTGAGAAATTCCTGGTCATTATTCTTTGGGCATTGTTCCACTCTCCAGACATAGCACCCGCCTCCTTCCCTTGGACCTACCCCCATAGCGAGTCTCTAACCCTCTGTCTCCCATCACTCCCCACTATGGCTGGTCACTCTCCAGCCTTCCCTCCCTCTTCCCCATTTCTGGACATAACCCCCACTCTCGATGATAGCAGAGTGCAGAGCTGCTGGGGGTGGGGTAGGGGGACCAAATAGTGCAGGCTTGTCTGCCCTGAATATTCACCCCTATGGGGTGTCCTGGCCTGTGGCTGGAGCCTTGGGGGGGCCTCTGGGCCCCTTTCCAGTGAGCTGAGCTTACCCCTCTGTGGCAGAGCCATGAAAGACAGGGGCAGCCATCACATAGCAGTGCTGACTCTGGAGTCGGAGCTTCTGTATGTGGTTTATTGTATAACCTCTTGGACTGGTAAGCTAGCCTGGAAACTGAGGAGGGCCTGGGGGCTGTTTGGCTAGCTTGAGCGGGGGTTGGGGGGTGGGATGGGGGGGTGGGGAGAGGAATGGAGGAGGGGAGAGAGAGACAGAAGAATGGGGAGAAAAAGAAAGAGAGGAAAGAGAAAGAAAGAGAGGAGAAAGAGAAAAATGGAGAGAAAGAGGAGGGGAGGAAGGAGAAAGAAAAAGAGAGACGGCAAGGAGGGAGACAGAAGAGAAAGAGAGGAGAGAGAGAGACAGAGAGACAGACAGAGAAGAGTGAGGAGAAAAAGGAGAGAGAAAGAGGAGAAAGAGAGTAGAGAGAAAGAGAAAAATGGAGAGAGGGAAAGAGAGGAAGGAGGGAGGGAGACAGAAGAGAAAGAGCGGAGAGAGAGAAAAAGAAAGAGAGGAGAGAGAAAAGAGAAAGAGAAAAGGGGGGGAGGGGCACAAGCACTTGTGCTATTGTCTTCTCTCAGCTCTCCTGCTGACTTGCTGTGTGACCCTGTACAATTTATTCATTCTCTCTGTGTCTCCACGTGTTTTTCTGTCTCTAACATGAGTACAAGGCTTCTCCTCCCCAACCCTCACATCCCTCTGGCCCATCCCTAGCTCCATGGCCCCACCTCCCCACCATGGGCCTCAGCCCTCCAGTGGAGCAGATGCCATCCTCCATGCTGCTTGGTGCAGTAGGTCAAGGCTTTCTTTCCTCCATGCTGGGCTTCCATCGCCACTGCGTGTCCTTTGGTGTCAGGGTGAACTGTTTTAGGTGCCCCTGGTGGCAGGAAGACTGAAGCCGTGAGTCCTTGGGGCAAACCCTCTTCTCCCTGGTCCTGTCCTGCCGTGCCCTCAGGAGTGGCCAGACGAGACCGCCATGTTCTGGGCAGCTCCGGGAGCCGTCAGGGGGAGGGCACTGGCTATCTCTGCCCTCCCTCTGCCTCTTCCTTCTCCCCTCCCTCCCAACACACAGAGCGCACTAACAATGGACGGGCCACAGATGCACCGTTTGTTGGCTTTGTGAGATGCAGGCAAGTGTAGAGGTGGGATGGACTATGTGATGCACTTGGAGTCAGGAAGACCTGGGTTCCAATCTTGTATCAGACACATATTAGCTCTGTGATATCTGTGATATCTTGACCAGGGCAAGTTGATCTATCTCTCTGAGCCTCAGTTTTCTCATTTATAAACTGGGAATAATTATAGCACCTACCTCACAGGGTTGTTGTGAGGGCCAAAAAAAAATCACACATGTGAAGCACTCAGCCAGCCTTGACATGTGAGCTGCTGTTTATTATTAGTGAATGCCTACTTCCCATTCTGTCCTCTCCCAGACTCAGTCTTCTCACCTTTAAAATGGGCAATTATAATCATAGTCCTGATTTGTAAACCAGGAATCACGGTAACAAAATAGGAGTCTCTGGCTACTTCTCCCCCCATCTCCCACCCCTTCTGTGAAGTAGCAGTAAGAATTCTAGCTTTTTCAACCTCAGGTAAAATGGGAAGAAATCATGAAATCAGTATTGTTTAAATCTAAACTTGTTGGGCATATACACAGATGAGTCGATGCAAGATCATTACAGTGCAATTCAATGAACATTTATTAAGTGCCTGCTGTATACAAGGCCTTATTTCTAGCACCAGGGGTATAAAGGTTAAAAACTAAATAGCCCCTGTCCTCAGGGAGCATATGTTTTCCTGGAGAATATAATATGTGCAGAGATAATAAATAATTTGAGGAGGGGGACAGCAGAGGTCAGGTGTGCTTCAGGGAAGGCTTCATAGATACAAATGCACAGAGGTGGGAGATTAAGTATGGAGTCCAGAGACCAGACAATAGAGTTTGACTGGAACATAGAATATATGAAGAGAAACAAAATGAAATAAAGCTTGGGAGGTAGGTTGGAGCCAGGTGTGAACCTTCTGTGCCAGGCTGAGGACACTGGATGCGTCCCAGAGCATCCTAGGGTTCTTAATATGGGATCTATGAACTTGGTTTTTTATCTTAAATATATTTTGATAATTGTATTTCAGTATAATGTGGTTTCCTTTGTAATCCTATATATTTTACATTGTGTATTTAAAAAACATGATTCTGAGAAGGGGACCATTGGGATTCACCAGATGGCCAGAGGGGTCCATGATACAAAAAAGGGGAGGAACCCCTTACTTTCTCTGGGAAATGAAGGTTGTTGAACAGGGAAGTGACATGCTCATCTTGAGCAGGGAGATAAGAACCAATTAGGTGGCCCAGTGGATAGAGCACTGACCTGGAGTCAGGAAGACCTGAGTTCAAATCCAGCCTGACACTAGTTGTATATACAAACAAAAAATACAGTCCCTGCCCTCAAGAAGCTTACATTTTAATGTGGGAAAAAGAACTGGAAGGGGGTAGGGGCTGGGGTAGTAGGGAAGATATTCCTGCTGGACAAGGTGGCAAAATATGGAGATTCAGGAATGGTGCTGGGGCTGAGATTTTTCTTTAAAGCATCTTCAATAGTGTGGCAATTTGCATGGTGCACCCAGTGAAACCAGAAGCCGGGAGACCTGTGTCCCTCTTCCCACCAACAGTAACACATGTGCTACTCAACAATCCCAGCAATCACAAACAACCATAGAATCATCTATCCAGAGCAGGAAGGTACATCAAGGGACAACAGACCCAACTCCCTCAATGAGGAAACTCATCTGTCCTGAGGAGGTTCAGTGACTTGTCCAAAGCCACCAGAGCCCGGGGAGACATGTTCTGAAGGGGAAGGATATCTATGATGAATCGGCAACGGAGATGAAGAAAGAATGGTCAGAAAGGCAAGAGAACCAGGAAAGCAGTGCCCCAGAAGCCAGGGAGGAGAAGAGAACGAAAGAGAGAAGGGAAGGGCAATGGAGTCAGACGGGGCCTTAGAAAAGGCCAGCAGGTACCACCATTAGGAAACTGGACCTTGGACAGCAACCTCAGAGCTGAAGCTAGATCTCAAGAGCTTGGGTGGTGGAAGTGAGAGTGTTCTACAACCTGACTTGACACTATCAGTCACTCTCTTCTCCCTAGATTTTCATGAAGCTGATGTCTCCTGGTTCCCCTCTTACCTATCTGACCACTCCTTCTCAGTCTCCTTGGCTGGATCTTCATCAATGTCTGGCTCACTAAACGTAGGCACCCCCCAAGGTTCTGTTCTGGTCTCTCTTTTCTTCTCCCTCCAGACTATTTCACTTGGGGATCTCATCAGTTCCCCTGGTTCAATGACCATCTCTCTGAAGTTGATTCTCAAATCGATTTATTCTGCCCTATAACCTTTCTCCTGACCTCCAGTTTTGTAGCTTTCTTTTTTACATTTTTACCTATTTAAATTTTAATTTATGGAATAAAACAAGTTTTTCCATAATGTATTTAATAAAAAAGATGACTGCACATGAAACTGCAAATCTATTATGTACAATTTGCTATTCCTTTTAAATATATAATAAAATTATCATGTAAATTTCTTTTTTTTCTTCCCATTCTTCATCCTAAAGATGGCTACCATTAGACACAAATATGTATATATGTAAAATCATTCTATATGTACCTCTATTTATCAGTTCTTTCTCCCCTAGGACAGGGAATGTTGAGCTGGGAGGGCCCTTAGAACACAATGTCAGAGCTGGGAGAGACTTTAGAACAGAGAATGTCAGAGCTGGAAGAGCCTTAGAACAGGGAATGTCAGAGCTGGGAGGCTCCTTAGAATATGGAGTGCCTACTAGTTGGTGCAGGGGATAGAGCACTGGACCTGGAGTTGAGAAGACTCATCTTTCTGAGTTCAAATCCAGCTTCAGATACTTACTAGCTATGGCCCTGGGCAAATCACTTAACCCTGTTGGCTTCAGTTTCCTCATCTAGAAAATGAGCTAGAGAAGGAAATAGTGAATCATTCCAGTATCTTTGCCAAGAAAACCCCAAATAGGGTCATGAATAGTCAGACATGACTGAAAAAAAAATGATTGAGCAACAGAAGACATTACTAGTGGTGCAATCCTGGGCAGTCTCTTAAACTCTGCCAGTCTCAGTTTTCTTATTTATAAAATGAGGATATTAATAGCTCCTACCTCCCAGGGCTGTCATGAAGATCAAATGAAATAATATTTGTCAAGTGCTTAGCACAGTGCCTGGCACATAGTAGGTGCTTAATAAATGCTTATTTCCTCCTTTCATTCCTTTCTCTTGGCTATCATAGATTTGGAACTGAGATGGATGTTATATGTCACTGAATCCAGCCCCTACATTTTACAGATGAAGAAACAGACCTCGAGAGGTCACAATAGAATTGGCATTTGAACCTAGGTCCTCTGGATTGCAAATCCAGAACTTTCTTGACTGGTGTACCAATGAGTTGGACCAGGAAGGAGGGGGTACAGACAAGACAGTAGTGATCAATAATAATAATGATGATGATACCTAGCATTTATCTAAAACTTTAAGATTTACAAAATGTTTTACAAATATCTCATTTGGTCTTCACGACAGCTCAGGAAAGTAGGTGCTGTTAGCCCCATTTAACTGATAAGAAAACTGAGGCAAGCAGAGATGAAGTGACTTGCTCAGCATCACACAGTTTCTAAGTGTCTGTGGCTATGAACCTTAAAGGCAGAGATGACAACAATAGAGGAAAGATTTAGGACTGCAAGTGGGGAGCATGAGGAACATGCCAACTGTCCTTGCCCAGTACATTTGCAGCTTGAGCTAAGTAGACACCAGCCATAGAAAGAGTGTCCAGGAATGAAGTGTCATCTGGAGAAAATCACGTCTATGTGGCTTAGGGGGAAAGGGTGAGCTCTAGAATAAGAAGAAATTTGCCAAAAAAAAAAAGGAAGAAAGAAGGAAGGAAGGAAGGAAGAAGGAAGGAAGGAAGGAAGGAAGGAAGGAAGGAAGGAAGGAAGGAAGAGATTTGGCAATGAGAATGGAAAAGGTTTGCCAGGGCACAGTGGATGGGCTAGGCAGAGGAGGAATGGCTCTGGGGAGAGGTAGGGTTGAGCTTCACTGGGATGAGATCATGGGGAGAGGAGACAGAGGGGAAGGGGCACA